AGGAGGATGGAGCATTTGTGTGATGCAACATCTTTGAAAACAACACATTTGTACCTTTTTTACAACGAACCTACGGACTAATTGTTTGTCTTTGTAAGCACATAAATCAATGTGTTATTAACATGTTATTCTCCTCTATTTAAGCATGCCATGCACCAAAATGTAATTAACTGTAAATTGCAACAAAAATGTTTCATTATCCATCCTACCAAGCATGCCGATTCCCAGCATGAAGGCATCCATCCCATAAGGCATCACTCTGGATCGGCCTCTGGCTGAGCCTGTCGGTGTCATGACCTCTTTTGGCTGGGCTTTCTTACATTCCACCTAAGGTATGCACAAAATATGTTAATTTGCTGTATTCTGACAAAGATCAGATTATAAATGCAGCTTCATGCAACGAGACTCAGGCTGCAAATTATTTATAATTAATGAGGTTTAATGCACAGGACTATTGACCGATCTGAAAATAAGATTTCTGAGCTGATGGAGAGGAGTTTACCATTTTACTGTTGATTTCATGGAAGTGGATCTCACACACTTTCTCCACTACGTCCTCATTTTCAAAGGTGACAAAACCGAAACCTGGAAGACACACAGATAGACACCCTTACAGCAACACTGCACTGGGAGAAAAATCTATTTATGAACACAACATTTTTATATGTCAGACAAATGGAAAAATAGATTATTGGGGTTAAACATTTCCACATATTGTTAATGGTGGATTTGATTTCATTTGAAATACAGACCTTATGAGTATTTAATAGTGTCTCTAATTTCTAAATGTGTTATAATTAAAAAAAGACTAGAAAATTAATTTGAAATAAAGAAAACAGATAATGCCTGTTTGTCTGGCAAATAAAACGTTTAATAAATTAAAACAAAACAGTTCTTTGAGAGTGTTTCAGCCTTTGGGTGTCTGCATACGTTCTAAGAAGACGATGCTCTGAATATTAGTGAATTATAAGACTGTTGGGCAGAAAAACAAGTTTAAATATAGCGAGAGGGCTGGAGACAGTAAAGGTCAAAAACATTCATGTGTCGCCGGCTATCTGCAAGAGGCACTAATCCACTCTTCAGCCGCTGCCTTCATTAATGTCTAATACAAGGAGCTGATGACCTGAGTACAAGTCTAGGGAGCCACGCACTGTCAGTCCTTTGATGGTATCGTACAAGAGCAAGGGCTGGAATTGTCTTCAGGAAGAGCTGAGCTGGGACTATACTGTTTTTCTCCACCAACAATGACACTCAATTTCTCTGCTCTGCTGCTACACATTCTCCTCTCCTCCTTTCCCTCTCTCACTTTTCTCACTTGTCTCATTAAGTTACATCCTCGCCTGTAAGTACCCTGACCCTGCGGTGTGACCCTCAGCGGGCGCTGCACTCCTGACTCACCGAGAGAGGACAGAGATAAATGAAAGACGGGGACACCGCAAGAGAAAGGAAGGACAAAAGAATGTGAATTGAGAGATATTTCATCCAGTGACTGGATGGCAGTGTTTTTATTGATGGAGGACAGTGTGTCAGCTGTGTGTCCATACCTCTGTGTCTGTTTGTTGTTTTGTCGAACATGAGCATGGCATCGTCAACCTGTGAGGACAAAGCAAAGGAAAAAAAAGTGAGCTAAGACGTATTAACACACACAGACACACACACACACACACACACTATTACACAGCATGAGGTTCTATTGTCCCTTTCAGCGTTGGAGCAATAGGAGAGAGCAGATGGAGATGGTGGAGGGCAGGGAGGGAGGGGTGACAGGTGACAAAAGAGTAAAAGAAAAGAAATAAAAAAAAGAGAGCGAGAGGAAACGGGGGATGTAAACCAGGGGCCCATTAAACACAAAGTGAAAAGAATTTTATAATTAAGAAAATAGCGAGTGTTGGCTGTTTACTGAGCACTTTTTTTTTAAAGTTTCTGTGCTGTCTCTGACTCACCACTGCTACCCCCCATTTGTGTCCCCCTCACTCATTCTTTTCCCCTCTGTGCAAAGTTTACTATTCCCATGGAAACCCTGTTGAGAATTTCAATTAGAAAAACTTGCCCCTCCTCCCCAACCCTAACTCATTTGAATGAACAGAATGAAGTGGAAAAAAGGGAGGAAAAAGATCTGGGATAGAAAGCATGAAACAAGAAGAAGAGGGGAGAGGAAAAGGATGAATAATGCAGTGATTAAAAAAAAGACAAGAGGTAAAGTTTGGGTACGGGATAAAAAAAAATCTCTGGGCGAACATTTTGGATCAGAGAGCAGAGAACAAAGTGAACTGTGGTCTTTGTCAACATGCTCTTCTTTTATTCTCCCTCCACTTTCCTTTCTGCTCTCACTCCACTGCCCTATTCATATTCCTCCTCCCCTCCTTTTCACCCTCCCCCCCTCTCCTCCTTATCCCCCCTCCCTTGCTTGTCCTTCACTAGCAGAAAAGTTAGCGTCTACTGCTCCAGCTCTGACGGCATGAGGGCAGAGAATCTGAAGCCAAGGTCGGGAGTACTGTCAAAATACATTTTTTAACCACCCAACAAAAATGTGGGGGCCAAAAAAAAAAACAACACACAAAAATATCGATTGTAAAAACTGTGTCCACAGGACACACCGACTATCAGACCACATGGCTATTTCCATTAGGCAGCAAGAAGTGTAACTCAAACCAGCGTAACATGAGTGGCAGAGGCCTCTGGATGACCAGGCCATCTGATTTCTGACTTTTACCTCAGATGAAAGGCACACACACACACACACACAATTCACTGACCCACTGAGATCATGTCTGTGCATGTGTGTAAAAAAGTAATTTTTTTCTTTTTCTGTGCCAAAAGAGCTTTTTAACCTTTTAACCCTCTGTTTTGAAAATGTTTAGGGCACTTGTTTAGTTTTAGGACTACAAAACCGGCTTAGGAAATCCACTCTCAAAAGAACCGAAGCTCGTCTTAATCACTGCGGCTAGAAAATATCCAGCTTTTATTGAATGTACACAGCCATTGTATAAAAAAAACAAGTGTTCACAGGCAAGTCCATTTCACTTCATCCCAGCCTCATAAGAAGTGGCGCTCACATTTTCTCCCTGCTGTTTCCTCGCATCTCCCTCTTTTATTCTCTTTCTCTGCCGCCATCTCTCTCTCTCCACACAGAGCAGCAGACAAAGTGTTCAGTCAAGCCTTCTAATCGTCAGCTCACATGGGTGAGTGCAGTCCTAACTTTTCCCGTCCACTCGGTGCACATGCTGCACTTTTCATCTAATCCGTTTCTTTCTTCCCTCGCTCATGTGACATATTTTAGTTCAAAACTAAGGACGCTGAATAAATAACGCAATTATCAAACAACAAGACCTGTTTAACACACGATTCTCAGGCCCTACAATCAGTGTTGACTGGGGTGGAAAAAATAATTCAACAGTGAAGTTCTCTTTGAGCTCTTACTGCTGCAGGTAGATACAGCAACCAGAGCTCTGATTTGTTCAGTCAGGAAAACCCCGTACACCAGCGCACACCTTTGATCATTCCTGGTTTGGTTGAAAACAGCTGATGTGACAGCTGAGGCACAGTTCCTACCTCATCTACCAAGTGTGTGCTCAGAGGTGCGCTTCCAAAAAAACATATAAACTCCAGCATGTATCAAAGAGTTACCAGAAAATGCACAGAGCATTCTGTGTTTTCACTTGCAAGGCGGTGCCACGGTATGAAAACAAACAGGCCAGTGAGTCCAGCTCCATCCAAACTTGCACCTTGTAACCAGGCTCAGATAATAAACAAGAAGTAACTCCCGCTCAGTGGGAATTCGCTGCGGGATCAGCGCTATCCACGAAACAGCTTTGGTCTCACGTGTCCAAACACTGCAAATATCCCCTTATCCTGCAGAGGGAATGTTGTCTAAGTTACAAGCGTCTGTGTTTAGCGGTGATTGGGTACTGAGGTGCAGTTACTTCATCTGAGTCTGGAGCCTTCAGGACATCTGAGGCACTGTCACAACTTCCGCCTCACAACTAGGACAGGCTGGATCCACGACTTTAATTTAGGGGACATTATCTGAATATGAACGAGTAGCTGAAAATATGTTAACACCCACACATGACACAGAGGCCGGCTAAGAGACAAACAGAGCCAGACATGAGGCAGCAGGAGCTCCGTGCTGTTAATTTCTTCCAAACCATTAAGCCCACATCCTGAAGCAACGCTCATTTTCAAACCATCCTGCTCTCCAACAGCAGCAGAACCACACGCTTAGCGGCGGTGACAAGTGGACCACTGGCTGTGAGCTGGAACCGTCTGCATGTCCGTGTCTGTCTGTATCTGGACAAATGTTTACAGGCTCGTCTCCATGTGCAGTCTCAACAAACCACTGTCACACACTTCTTATGCGGACTCACAAACACACAAAACACACACAGCCTTCTTTCCATTCATGCAAATACACACTTCTTACGCATTTTAAATGAAATAAAAAAAACACACAGCTAGGTTACAGCAGGACAATGGGGGAAAGCAGGTCACCACGGCAACAAGCGTTGAGGGTTTGTGTCTGTATGGGATGGGAGGGGAGTCTGAGGTACTGGTTTTGGATGGGGGGGGGGGGGGGGGGGGGGGGGGGGGGGGGGTACAGGAGCAGCTGTTGCATTTGATTAGTTAATAGGAAAGAGCCTAAAGCTCAACAGACTCTTCAAATCCCTGAAGTGAAGCTGGTGAAAAAACAACACGTGAAGAATAGGAAGGATACTTTCTGATCCACAGAGCCCATCAGATGACAGTTTTTCACTTCACACAGACACTTTTTTCATACCACTATCTCAACATTCTTCCTTTTCTTTGCCCTTCAACCCCTTCTGAGTCCCCCTCCCGCTCTCTCCATGGGGGGT